GGAAAAAAAACTTAATTGAGATTAAAAAACTCAGTTTTATTCCTTTGATGAAAAAGATGGAATGGACACACTAACACTGGAGCGACCGGAGTGGTTATTTTGACGGCAAATAAAATTTGAGAGATCTAAAATAATTATACCAGTTTAATTGATTTTTGGTTACTTTTAACAACTTTTTGGGACCTCAAAAAGTGTTAAAGTAAGATTTTATTAGTATATATAATGAGCGCATAAAATGAGCCTTATGAGTATTTACCTAGAAAGACCATTGTATTACATAGACTTGACTGTATTTTTTGAATATAGCAATTTTTTTTTCTTCAAACGAAATTCTCCTCCTGCTCGCTGTTGCTCTCCAAGCCATCGTAAATGCTTACACAATTGTCAAATGATTATATTTAGATCGCCGCTTCGATACATAAGCTCGCAATCCGCTCAAAAATGGCTTATTCACTATACCATTCGAGAAAAGGTAAATTTTTCGAAAACTTCTAATTTGTATTTTATAGCAGGGTTGATTTGTATTTTATAGCAGGGAACACGTATATATATATATATATATATATAAATTGTATTAAGTTTTTAGCCGGCTTTGAAACTCATGACCAAATAACTTTTTGAACAGCTTGATATATCATATCTAGGAAAAAGCAAGAACCGAATTAGCTTGTAGAACATGCAACTTTATAATTAATTGATGCGTTTCTTTGTAGGAAAGAAATATCCATTCGGTTATTTATAAATCAGCTATTTTGATATGGTTAAATTTTACTCCTAATATTATTCAATAGTTGAATCGAGTTTAATTTAGTTTACGTACTTACAGGCGCAACTACGTATGTGATGTTAAAAGGCATGACAATCACGCATGCAGTTCTACAATATCTGGTATCATTGTTGTCATGGTCAAATCAGACTGGCGAGAAAGGGTTATTAAATTCTTGACAACAGTAATTATTACTAACATTAAACTGTACTTTAATTATACTATAATGGACACACTGTATATCATTCGAATAGTTTATATAAATTAATAATGTTTGAATTTTCTAATAAATGAATATTCATCACGTAAATTTGATTTCTTAATGTAATCTGTCAGTTGTTTCATTTCAAAATTAATCTCAAATTTCTAAATTAGTAGTTATTTTATCAATAGAATAGTTTTAAAATTTTGGGGACCGTCTTAGATACAAATAGATAGAATAAATTAATATTCTCGAAAGTTTCTCGCAAATACATACAACACACTCCTGCAAATGACGCAACCAGTAAGAAACGCAAAAAGTAAAAAAAAAAAAAAAAAAAATCAATTTGTTCCTTTTTTGTTTTTTCAAAACACAAAAAAAGAATTTTTTCTTGTCTAATTTTTTTTTCATAACATAGAATTGTTTTACAGAAATATCAGATATGAACTGCTTTATCAATGCTGTGTAAAATATATAAACTATTATTACTGTTATTTTTTTTACTTTAATTTCAAATGCTCCAGAAATATATTTTCGTAAGTTCTAATAGTTTTAGCTTAAAATAATTTTCTGTTTTAAAATTTAGCAGTTAGTTGTGTAGTACAAATAAAGTTAAGTAACTCATTAATAATTTAATTTGAGGGCTTCTATTTTGCTATGAACTAGGTGAAGTTCAACAAATAAAAATTTAAAAACAAATTTTATCCTACTAAAAAATTAATTTAACTAAAAATTTGAAATTTTATTTTACCACAAATGAATTTTTTTTTAAAGCAAAAATGGAATTTAAAGAAAATAATGATATTTGATAAAGGTTTTACCTCATTCAAGCAACTTAAACTTTTAAAAGTTTTAGAAGTTTGATTTAATTATCAATTACAAACATAAATACATAATAAGTTATGTTTTACCCAGAGAAAAAAACTTTTGTAAAATTACTGTACTCTTCGGTATTGGCATTTCTGTTTAAAAAGAAGTATATTTTAAGCTAATAATACCAAAATAACCAGTATTTAAAAAATACATTTGGTCATTTTCCCGTTCGCATTGTAGCGGTTTACTGGAAATTCCGATTTTAAAAGCTATAAATTGCAGAACTGAAAAGTAATTTCTACTGAATATATTATTTTCATGCCATGCTCAAAGGTATCATGGTGAAATTACCAAATATTAAATTTACTAAATTTTATCAAGTAAATTAAAATTATGTCTTAGTGTTAATTTAACAATAATAACTACCAAAACGTTTCCGGAAAAAAAATACCGAGTTTTTTGATGTTCCCATGCAGCAAGAAACTCGGTAAACTTTACCACATTCTGGTAGTTTTGACCATACTTTTTTTTCTCCGTCCAGAATACGCACTTAATGATACGCATGTAGCTGTATACTCAATTAACTTCGTGACATTTTGGGAAATTTTAAATAAATAAATATCATCAAAAGCATGTATTACCATTAAAAATCACCTTAGCTTTACCATTAAAAATACCTTTTCACATAAATATATATGGTTTAATACAATTTAGAGAGGAATAGTGAAAAACTTTTCTGTATATTGTTGAAAACTATTTTTATTTTGAAAAATTTTTCCATTTGCAATATACTTTGAATATTAAATGTATATTTTCGTGACAGTCGGATCAAAACAGTAAACTTCACTTTTATCGGATTTAAAAAGCATGTTTTCTAGCTTAGACTTTCTCTTAGATGCAATATATATGCTTGAAACTAAAATCTGATATTTTGCAAGAATTTTCTCCATGCCAAAGTTTCGACTTTGTTCGAGATCTCGTATTTATTCTGAACTAGGTTTTTTAAATTCTATATGTAGAAATGATATTTTCCAACATGTTTTAGCTTTACAAATGGCTCCTGAACTCTATCGAGAGTTTTCTAAATCACATTTTATGTGATAAATTTATCTCGCGCACTTAAAATGATTGTCAAAATGATGTCTCTGATGTTGAAAATATTTAATGTGAGTAAAAATATTCGTTTTTTTATTTAACTGAAATGTTTGTTCGTTACTTGAAGGAAAATTACAGGACTGAAACGGTTAAGTGTTGTTTCATGTAAATTGAACAACTCTCGTATACGTTTTACTATGATACTTTAAGCTTGAAATATTATCAGTTCTTTTAAATTTTAAACTATTTGTTTGTGATACCGACGCAAACTTTTGGAATTCAATAATATTTCGTTAAATGTTTTGAAAAAGTTTCCATTTTTTTTTGTAAAATGATCTTGATGAATAGTAATATAAAAAAAGAATTTGATGTCCTTTTGTTTTGAGCCTAAACATTACCTAATCAGAAAAAATTATATTAGTTTGTATTTATGTAAGGTGTTTAAAGTAAATGGTGAAGCAATCAAATTAAATTTAAATTTCTAAACACCATTTCAGTGAATATATATTTATCATGTATATATTTAGACTAAAAATTTGCTTATGTGAGTGCGAAAAATTCACGAAAAAGCAATTCTGGTACCTTACGTATTGTAATGGCATTTCCGGTAAAAAAAATCTGGTTTTAAAAAACAAAATTATATGGTATTTAAATAATTTATTTCATAATTTTTAAGTCATATGGTATCGGTTTACCGGCTAACCGGCCTGTGTAGGGGGCAGGGAACTGTCCTTGCATCAGAATGGTCCTGGGTTCGAATCCCGGGCAGCGACTTTACACATTGTCCACTCCCAGGCACTCGCACTGGCGACGGTTCTATTTGGCAACTGTCTTATCGCCTAATCTGGTAGTCCTCTATCTCCTAATCTGCTGAGAGGCAACCCTATGCCCGCTTCAATTTCTTTTTAACTCGCTCAAAAATCGTAAACAAACACCAACACTATGGATATTTTTAAAAGTTGCGTGTTACCTGAGTTCGGTAAAAATTTTACTCTCGTTTTTGACGAAAAAAGTTCAAATGATGATTAAGCAATACTTCGTTCTTCACTGGAGGAAGAAGACGTAGAAAAATTTGTGGAAGCATACAGCGACATTACCCACACATGTTGGAATGTTTACTACCACAGAACAAATTTATCAAGGTAAGTTTCATTTTGCAAATTGATGTATTAATAAATGTTTAAAATATGCTTTCGCTGTATTGATATTTCTTAAATGAATAATTTTTTTTTTGTTGAACCACTTTTCTTTTAGAATGAACTTAAAAACTTGTATTTAGTTACGTTAATTTAATCCACAAACATTATTTTGAGACATAGTTAGAGAAAAGGATAATCTTTCCCCATATATACTTATCCAGCTTTTCTATACAATTCAGTATAGATAAATATTATAATTGCAAAAAAATATACCTACTATTATGGAGAGACTTTAATTTATTTTTATACTTTTGCAAAAGTATTTAATGAATAATTTTTTATTACTGTAAGAGAACACCTACATTATATTTATAATCTGTACCAAACTTATATTTGGTAGATATCTATTGTTGCATGTATAATATAACTAGTAATTATATAGGTACTGATATTGCATCAGATTAGAATTCTAATACATTAAAATCTAACGTACAAATAAAAAGTTTCAATTAATTAATTAATTTTAATTCAAATAAAAAGTTTTGAGCCACTATATTTCTGTGTTAAATAACTTTATAATTACTAATACATTCTTTTAGTGATAAGAAAAGTAACCACGATTGGGAAGAAAAAATTAATTGTAACATATCGATGAAAAAAAATATGAAATGGCTCGAAAACAGAAATTGTCTAAGTCAAAGTACTGTTGTTTAATTGCCTAACTAAAGTGTGAACTCTGAATCTTATAGCAAAATTTCACTAAGGCAGCTGAAAATGTAAAGTGACTTTACGTATTAAAATTTGCATCACATACTTGTGTCTAAATTTTGTATTTTATGGGTAACTCTTAACAATTATATATTTAGGATTTCATTTTAATAATGATATTCATAATTTTTTTAGATGGATGTATAGCAAGTCTTGGAAATGCCAGGATCCCAGCTTTCAGAAAAAAGCAAATTCCAAGAAAAACATGAACTGCAAGGCAGCCATTACTGTTTTAACAAAGAAAATTTCTAAAGACACAGTTAAAAAGGACAAATTCTTAAGTGCTGAAGTGCCATTGCCTACTCTATTGACTATTTTGTTGAAACACTGGCATCATACCAATGTTGCAGATTCTCTAAGATTTATGAGAGTTTCAGAAGAGGTAGTTATTTATTTTTTCTATTTTTATAGTTAATTATAACTACTTTGTATAACGCGTAGATTTATTTCTGTTTTTTTCATGTGTACAGAAAAAGCATACTTCTAGGCCAGTGATTCTCAACCTTTTTTTGTGATGGCACACTTTTAACTATTTCAAAATTTGACGGCACACAATGAAAAAAAATTTGTTTAAAAGTTGTTTACTTACCTATAATGCACTGTGTTAAATAGTTTGAGATAATAATTTTGAATGTGAAATAAAGTAATATGTACTACAAAAGCACGTTTATTAAGGGATTAATTATTTCTTTCGAATAATTTTTTATTAGTTAGTAAGAGTTATTTATTTTTTTGCTAGTTATTAATTGTTAGCTTGTTTTCTATAGCTATTATCTGTTAATTTTTTTGAATTCATTCTTATTTTTTGTGATTTCTTGTTAACTAGTGTTTTTGTTAATTAATTATTATTAGCTTGTTTTTTGTTAGTTTACTTAATAAAGTAACTTTGAAGCTTAAATAATACAACACCACAGGCTTAAAATAGATCACTTCTGGAAAAAAGGATTTAATTCTAGCGTTAAAATCTTTTAACTGATGTGCGGTGTTGACAGCTTCTTGACTGCTTTGTGGTGGGTAAATAGGTTGAGTGTTTTAATTTTGATAGAAACAAAATAAATGATGTCATACATTTTCAATATATATATATATATATATATATATANCACAATATATATATATATATATATATAGAATGCAAAATTAAGATAAGTACTGCTTAAATTTCTAAATACTTTTGATTTTTAATTGAAGAAAGTTAACTAAGGCGAAAATTTAAAAATAAAAAATATTTTTTTCATGGATATGATTTCTCTTTCTTTGTTAGTTGGACTATTTATCAAAGAAGCTAAAGATTTTAAATACTTAAATTGAAGCATTACATTTAGTATTTTAATTATAAACTATAAATCTTAACTTGAGACTACAAGCTGTGTTTCATTATATCTCATTTATTTAGATGATTGCATGGTACTTAAAGAAGTCAATAAGCTTTAAGTATACTTTTTATGAAGAATGAATAAATTTCTATTTGCTAAAATTTTTCAATTAAAATATATATAAAATAAGATCGTATATCTTAAATTCAAGGAAAAGAAAGTTATAATAATACATGTAATGCTGTAAAAAGCATTGTACATTCTTAAAATAAAAATTAAGTAAAAGCTAGTGTATGAATAATCATACAGCTGATTATAAACAGTGGAATTTAAGATATACAGAAAATTTACTTCTTTTGATGTAAATATCCCTAAATCTACATTGAATTAAATCTCATGTCATTTAAATACAAACATACAAATATATTGTAAACAAAGCCTTTGTTTTAAAAATTATCAAATGTACTTGTTTAGCAAGATGACAATGGAGTGGAATATCCCATAACATTTTTATTCAAAAATAAGACATTCAATCTAATTGTAAACAAACCTCCTTAGGAAAACATTCTCATTGAATGTAAGCAATATAGTATACAGTTAAGAGCTAAGTAAAAAATGTTCTATTTACTTTTTAACCATTTAACAATTCTGGTGGTATTTAATAGATCTTACAAATATTAAGATGTTATATATTTTTTTCTTTTAAAAGTACTTTCTTAGTTATGGCAACATATTTTGTCAGTCAGCTTAGAAAAAATATCTTTCTTGTAAAATTTGGTTAATAAGGGGCAGAAATAAGTTGGGAATAACACTACATAATTAATTTTTCTAATGCCATTGAAGAAAAATATATTAATTATAAGGCCATTAATTACTACTTGGCTCTGCCTCATACTAATTTATGCTCATGAACCCCAATGATTACTCTTAAAAACACAATTGCTTTGAATTATTGGTTTCTTTTTGTTTCATTGTTATTGCCTTTGTTCCAATAAAACAGAATATTTTTTGATTGAAGTGCTATATTTTTCTGGAATACAGTTTTCTACAATATTGGCTCTATTCTCTGCCACGTTTTATGATCTCATCTTTAGGATGTGGTGTTTTCAGAAGTTGTTTCAGTAGAAGATTCTCTTATATTGATTTTTTTTATAGTTATATCTTTTAACTTATTATTTAACCCTTTGCGGTTCTATTAAGTTTATACATGGGTCCTATGGGGCAAAATTTCATAAATAATTTTCCAGCTGACTCTATTTAATATTAATTTACAGGATAAGCAGAGCAAAAAAATTGTAAATGCATTTTGTGGTTAAAATTTGAACTATGTGTAATTAAACTTTGTAATATTGTACTCTTTTTAATATTTAGTCACCAATAGTCTTTATGACTGATGACTCAATGGCTGAAAAGAATGCCCTGAAAAATGTTCATCCTTCTTCGATTCAGCAGCTTCTTTGTCATTTTCATGTTGCTCAGGCGGAGTGGAGATGGATACATTGCTGTAAGAATATTGACATGGAACTAAAGCCAGTGCTCATGAAGATGTTTCAAGCAGTAAGGAAACATATATATATATATATATTTAAGTTTTAGAGGTTTTTTAATTTTCAAAAGCTTTAAAATGTAAAAAAAGGTTCTACGGAGTGAATAGTTTTAGAAAAAATATCTTGCACCCCATTTTGGTAAAGGTTTTGTAAATTTGGAATTGTTTTTTCAAAAAAAAATTTTTTTAATACATTTTGAACTTCTAGGCATTACATACTTTAACTTTCGGGAATATTTTTGAATTCTTTTATTAGTTTTTAATTTAAGAAAAAAAATCTATTTTTATACCAATGTTCTTATACTAAACTAATTTTTATTTTCTTTAATTGTGAAGGAAGAAAGTTTAATTTTAAAATTATTATTTACAAGCAGTTTTTAAATCTTAACTAAAACCACAAAAAAGGCTCCCAGTTGATAACCACTGTTATATAAGTTAACTTTAACATCAAAAAAAATTATTACTAATTGTTAATTTCATTTTGTATACATAATTGAACTTAAGTTTTAGAACTTACAAAGTGACTTTTATTATTTCAGGTCATGTATGCTGTGGAAGAAAGTAAATTACAGTCAGCCTATAATGAAATGAAAAACGCCACAGCAGTCCATCCTGAATATTTGAGACGCTTTGAAACTTTCTTCCAGCGGCGGAAAGAATGGACCTCTGTAGATCGCCGAAAATATTTGATACGAGGCCACAATACCAATAATTTTTCCGAGGCCTCTATCCGAATACTGAAAGATGTTGTGCTATATCGAAAGAAGGCATTTAATAGTGTGGCTCTTGTTGACTTTGCTGTGTCAGTGTGGGACGACTATTTACTAATGAAATTGTTAGATTTTGCTAATGGTAGAAGGACCACTCTGTACAAAGTCAGCTGAGGATATAAACATTCCATTCCTTTTCAAGAATGCGTAAGAGTGGAAAATAATACCTATACTGTGCCAAGTGCAACAAAAATTGATACATTTTGTGAGCTGAATACCTCATTGGCCATTGTACATGCGTGAGTGGGCGGACTGGTGCTTTTTGTAAGCACCACTTATATTTGCATCAAAAATTAAATGTGCCCATCCCAACAGTGCCAATATTAGATGCGAATGAGCGACACAATTTGGCCTTTTTAGCATTAGGTGAGAAATGCTCTCCAGTAGAGTTCTATAAAAAATGGATACCATTGCTGATAACAACAACGTAAAATCTTTTGATATACTTGCAGTTAATATGGAGAATTCCATAATTCGGCCTGAACACCAGGAATTGCCAACTGTTGTTCCTGCATCAATAGAAGAGAAAAATGAGCTTTTGCAACAGTTTACAATTTTACTTAAAGGCGACATTAGCAAATCAACTGTTTGCAAATTAACTAATGCAATAAAAAATACTGATAAATCCAGAGCTGGACTTGCATTGGTTAAAATGGCATATGCTTTGCAGGCGACTAAAAGAACGAAAAGGTCAAAAATTAAAGTTCAACCAGCCTCAATAGCCCGAAGACGTTATGGTGTATCTAGAACGAGCAATAGAATCCAACAAGGAAGAAAAAAGGAAACATTCATTATCAGATAATATTAAAAAAAAATATCCGGCATGCTAAGAAGCATTGTGCTTAATCACTAACTTTTGTTTTCTAAATTCCATTTTGCTTTTTCTGTAAATATTTCTTTTTTTATTTCCGTTTTACTTCAGAAACAGACAGTTGGGATTTTCGGGTGTGGTCAGGCTGAAGTATGGAATTCTCCATATTGACTGCAAGTATATTAGAAGAATTTACATTGTGTTTATTAGTCCTTAAAATTTTGGAAGACATTTTAAGTGGTACAAATTATATATGTCTCATTTGTTTTAACTTTTTAACTCCAATAGCTTTTATTGTTTGTAATTCGCTTTATAATTTCAAACCTATATTATTAGGTTATATTTTTGTGTATCTAAAAGCTGTTTGACATTTTTTCTTATTTACTTCTATTACTTTCAGAGTGTAAAAATTGTTTCATATCTTATAATAAAAATCTTACTCTTGCTGTGCTAAGTGATTGTAAATTTTTGATGCTTACTTCCTTAATTACACAAGCAGTATTTTTTTGTTTTCATTTTACAGATAATAAAAAGTTTTATATAATAAAATTGTGTTCATCTAATAAATATACATTAATGGCTACAAAGTTTTAACTATTGGTGACCTTCGGCGTTGTGGCGTAACTCTACGACACATTAACTTCGGTTAATGTGGCGTAACTCTGTATTCCTAAGTTTTAAATATACATTAATGGCTACAAAGTTTTAACTATTGGTGACCAAAAAGTATAAAAAAAAAGTAAAAAGGAGTAACTAAAATACAAGACAAATTTAACCATACAGTTATTAAAAATACTTGATACTATGTTATCTAATAAATTTTTATAGATGAATTTTTGTAGCTGTCAAGTTCTAAGTCCTCTTTAATTTTAATGTAATAGAAAATATTTGTTAAAGAATTTGTATCGAAACAATTTTTAATAATACTATATATGACTTCAAGATATTTAAGGAAAAGTGAGACTAAATAAAGAAAAATTAAAGCATGATTGGCAGGTGCAGATAAATTTCAACTTGAAATAGTCATTGCTTTTATTAGATAATGCTAACTTCAGCCATTTTTGTAACATAGGCATTACTGTTCTCATATAAATTATACTTCTTCTTTTTCCCCTCAAATGTGGGAGTTTTTTAGTATCTCGTATGTATAGTTAGCTAAGCACATTTTACTCTAATTTTAAAAAAAATTTCTTTTTACTACTCTTAATATGTCAAAATGTTTGAAAAGAACAAAACCATCTTAACCTCAAAAAATGTCGCAGTACTAATAATGAGTATGACCAAAATAACTTAAATTGGTAAAATTTTATTATTCAATGTGTATGGAGACCTGTCAGTGAAGGATTAAATAGTTAAATTATATTTTTAAGAGGCAATCAGCTAAATATAAGCTAAATTCTTCCAAACTAATTTAATAATTAGTTAATAAAATGACTCAACTCAAGCTTACTTTTCAGCCCATATGACTACCCTAAAAATCATTTAGTGAAGATTAAATTCTAAGAACATTTCATTTTAAAAGAGTGTAAGAGTTGGAATGAAAATTCAAGAAGCTGTTACATAAGTTAACATTTTAAGACTGCTTTAAAAAAGATTGATACTGAATAATCAAAAATATGAAATAATAAGGATATATAGTGTATATTCTAGGTATTTATTAAAATTAACAATATAAAAAAATGGGGGGAAATTATTGTGGTTAATGCATAAATGTAGCTAGAATAGAAAAAGATAAAAACAAATTGATTAAAATGAATATTTCTTAATTATTTTAAGTACTTCGTAAATATTTTTAATTACAACTATTTCTCAATTATTGTAAGTATACACACATTATATTAACACAAATACTTTGCATTACTAAATATTGTGACCTTAAATATTAGAATCTTAATTCTTAAATCAGATTTGTCAAAAATAAATTACTCTGCCCAAACGAAAAAAAATCATTTATAAAGTCAATAGCAACAACTTCCCTGTCTTTTGAAAAATAAAAATTGCTTGAGACTTATAAAATGTTTAATAATTTCGACTGCGGGATTTAAAAAATAAATAATGAAGTACAAAAGCTTGTTGCATTACTAAATAGTGTCACATACTTGGCAAAGACTCTATAAATCATTTTTTTTTTAAATTAGAAAATAAATAGAAAGTTGCATCCTATTTACAGAGAAAAAAAATTAATATATAAAACCAGCTAATTTTTTCGGAAACGTACGACTTATAAAACAAGTTTAAAACTAAAAAGTAAATAAGGTTTTAGTAAATATTTATAAGGCGACTGATAAACAACAATAATTTTAGTATTGAGTATAGTAAAGTGCGGCGAGCTCTCTGCGTTTACAATAATTTTATAAAGAGACGAAAACTTATAAACAGCTAAATTTATTCAAATCTCATGTTTACTGATGCGTTACATTTTTCAAATGGTATATTCAAAGAGTTTCTTAAATAAACACTGTTTAGCGACAGGCATTTGATGCTGTGTCAGTGAGCAACTGCTGCGCATGCGCGAAACAGTGTTCAGAGATTCTCGCGAGAAAATGAGAGATCCGACTTGGCAAATACAATATTGGCGAATTTCAAAATACGTTGCCAAAGAGGTGCCCGGGAGTCGACAATGTGTAAAGTCGCTCCCGGGCAAGGCATGGATGTTTCTTTCTCTCTCTGTGTGTTCTATTCCTTGGTGTGTGAATGTGACCCGCGCTATAAACGGGTTGTGGTTGTGTGAATGGCATGGCAGAAGTCGAATTCCTGGCAATAGATGGAGCCACTGAAAAGCAGGAACGATCGCACCCCCACTGCCTAAACAGGCATACGACAAAAAATTCGGTTTACCAAAATTTTGGTTTTCATTATTATTAAACCAATTTCAACCATTGACTGTTAGGTCATTAGGTTTCTCTCTTGTACTTCTTAACGATACAGTCAAAGTCTTTTAGTACAAATCACATGTCCAAATCCACAGCAGTCAAGGCTTGTCCGGAATTACATAAAAAACAATCTGATGAAGTTGTTAGCTTGAGGCGAAATAAATGAAAACGTAGAAAACCATGTCCGGTCATAAGTCTAAAAATGGCTACCGCAGTATCACGGGGAGATTCCGGAACACAATGAATTCCATAGAGCACATTTCAGGACTTATCTCTATCAGCGCGAGATGCCAAACAATGGGACGATTGTTTGAAGATTCTTTTGTTTTGGTTCTCAATAATTTAATTTTTTTATCCCTTATTCATTAATAAAAGCAAAATTTAAATTAAATTTTGCCGAATAAATAAATTTTGCAATGCTCTACAGTTTAATGTTAAAATTAGCAAATTTTACCAAATATACCTAATTTTATCATATATTATGGAACCATAATTTAAGTTTTATCAAAACCTTTTACAACGTGCTTTCGTAAAAATTGAACTTCTTGATTTTCCCATGGAACTAGAAACATGATAAACTTTACCACATTTTGAAAGTTTTGACCAGATTTTTTTTCTCAATGGTATTATTTACAGCAATATACCATATTATCCTCATACCATTTTAAAAAGTTAAAAAAAGAAAAAGAAGATAAATAAATATCATTAAAACTAAGCTGTATGTAAGTCTAAGTTGCATGAAAACACGATAATACCTTCTAATATTTGTATATACATTTCAAAATAAACTATACATCGAGAAATAAAAAGAAATTTTTCCGTACAATTTGTTGTATAAACTAAGCAAACTGTTTGAAACTATTACTTTTCCAAAAATACATTACATTTGGATTATACTTTGAATATAAAATATATAGTTGCGTGACTGTTAGATCAAAACAGTAAATTTCACTTTCATCGGATTTAAAAAGAACTCTTCGAAACTAGGAATTTCTTTTAACTATAAAATGTCTGTTACATCTTATATGAATACTATGCTTGAAACTAAAATCTCTTACTTTTACGAGAATTTTCTCAAACATACGTTGCGATTTCAAAGTTTCGTATTAGAATAAGATTGTTTTAAAGTCTATCTCCATAAAGGACTTCTTTCAATGCATCACTACTCTACAAATAGCTACAGGAATCTTTTGAGATTTTTTTAAATCACATTTTAAACCTTAAGTCAATTCAGCGAATTTAAAATATTTGTTAGAACACCTCATATTTTATATTTCAAATATTTCCTTTACATTAAAAAATAACTGTTTTATTTGGCTAAATTTATTTCTTTAAATGAAGGAAAAACCTGACACTAAAATTACTAAAGTAAATACAATGACTAATGAAAATGACTATTGTAAATGTCATGATTAATGTAAATGACTATAATAAAATGATTATTGTAAATGTAATGACTAATGTAAATTACTGCAGTAAATCTAATGATTAATGAAAATGACTGAAGTAAATGTAATGACTAACTTAAATGACTAAAGTAAAATGACTATGGTAAACGCAATGACTAATGTAAATGACTTTTGGAAAATGATTGTAATGTAGTGACTAGTCTAAATGACTATTTAAAAACGACTATTGTGAATTATTCACAAAATTACAGTAAGAGTGTTTTGAACATATTTAACTTTTTTCCTGAAATATTTATACAGAAAAAGGCTATTTTCATAAAAGGTTTATTTTATTTCATAAGATTTTCAAGTTAAAGTGCAAACTCAGATGACAAATTAACTCCTGGATCATGTATTAAGCCTAACTCCTTTTCGTGAAAGATTTGTTCACAAAAAAATCACGACCAATTAAAGAAAATTGAGTTGAGGTCAAACGTAACAAATGTTAAAAATCGTTTGATTGCTAAAATTTGTCAGTTAAACCAATGTCAAGTGATTTACTTAGATCTGCTTTGTATAGAGTTTGTTGCCTGAGTATGTATTGCGGACAATAAAAAATGGATCACCCTGAATAACTTTTATCTTATGTTCAGATCTTTAGTTTCTTGATCTCAACCTTAATGGTTTAAGGAGGTGAACTCATATATGTTATATAATTAGAGAAGACGATATTTTAAACTACGAAATCAGATACAAAATTGTACTTTATCTGAATAAATATATCTTTTTTTAACGTATTCATTTTCTGACATTCAAAACATAAGAGTTCTGAGAAATGTGGTCCCCACAGTTTGGTCAGGGCA